TTCTTTCTTCTTTTGTCGCTTAATGTACCACTGACTTAGTGTTGCTTGGTTTATATCTGGTAGCTGAATCTGTGTCTCTCTCATCACCATGCCATTGTTCATAACACGTTCTTGTATGCCTCGGTAGTCTTTACACACAAGTGACCAACGGTTAGATGTTTTTTTGCTTGATCTCTCTGGCCCAGGATGTGCATTACACAGTTCAGATATAACTGCCTCAGTGTACCTGTTACAATCTGGCCATTGGGCTGGGGCACTGTTGGAGCCTAGAAAACACCTTAAGAAAGATAAACACATTTGATGAAAAAGAGGTTTTTTTGTAATATTTACAACCAAAAATAAACAGTTGCTCACCTCCTAGTGCTGTCTAGCCCTGGTACGACATTGGTATTTCTTCTCTTTGGAACTTTAAACTTTCCCTTAACCAGTGTAGTGCGATGTCGTGGAGCAAATGTTGTTGGCTGTTTGTCATATTCATGAAGGCTTTTCCACAATCTAATTATTTCATTGGCTTGGGAATTGGACAAGGCCATATTTCCCTCTCCGATAGAAACCAGATATGATGCTAAAGCCTGGACTTCTCCATATCCCTGAATGTTGTCGGGCCCAGAAGAGTCCTATAGACCAATAAATGGTAATAGTTAGGAGTTTACTTTCTGAAACCTTAAATGCGACTTCTAAAAAACTAACCTCTGTAGCACATGATGAATCACCTCCCACAAGCTCAGCAGAGTCTTCATCAGAAGTACTTGTTGCATCTGAGTCTAAATGTAAATTCACATTTTTAGTTAATGATTCAGGAAAGTCAGAGTTTGGGGAAAATGTGCACCTACCCCTATCACTACCCAAAGGTAAAGTGAACACTTGCTCTGCAAGTGCAATTGTCTCATCTTCATCCTCATCAAATCCTTCATCTATTTGGTCCTGGTTAATATCTGAAAGAGCTTCTTCCCCATGTCTGAGATCCTCTTCTTCTACTGTGTTGTCCTTGAGAATCTCACCAGTTTGATTGTAGAGATACTCAACTCCTATCATTTCACCTGTATGGATTCCAATAGTCTGAACACTGCCCTTGATTTTTTAACCGAGGACATCTTCACTCAGCTCATTCACAGCATGTATCAATAATCCAGTGTAGCTTTCTGGTCCTGATGCAGTACTTGACACTGCAGCAGAAGCACGATCAGCATTCCACCTCATCAGGCCATCTAACAAGTAAGCTTGAAAATGAATGTCACTTGCTGAGGTACCTGTAAAAAATGAAAACAGTTTTATAGACTGAAGTGTTCGCAATATGTCAAGTCTTTAAACATATATCATTACCTGGTATGAATTTATTAATATGCAGGTGGAATGACTCCAAAGATGTTGAACCTCTTGCACATCTATAAGTTGGAAGTTGGACACCACCTTTAGTCAAGACCCCAGTTTGAGTGTACAGTTGCACCCCCTCAGGGTCCTGGATGCATGGAATATGGTGCTTTTGGTTGTCCCATATTTCCCATACGCGTGTTTTGTCGAGCA